GGAATCTGTAGGTAAAGGCACCTACGGACTAGAGGGGTTAGAAAAGTCAACGTGTGGTGGCATTGGAAGACGTTCAAGTAGCGAAGGAACGGAGCGTTGCGAAGAATGGGGTTGTGAAGATGGAGGAGAGGGAAGAGAAGGAACAGGAAGTGAATCAGTGTCCATTGAAGGTTTAGTCTCTGCAATATATTCTGAAATGGCTTCAAGTGTTTCTGAATTCAAAGATGTATGGGAGACCATATTGGAGATAGAAGGAGGAGGGTGATAAAGATTGGGACAGTAATGGACTGTACCAAAGTAGAGGGGGAGGGAAGAGTGTAAGGGACTGGAGATGAAGTGTGGCGGGGGACAGAAGAGGCAGAAACCTGGGAGGTGGCAGAAGAGGGAGAAACTTGGGAGGGGACGGGGGTGGAAGGCATAGTACGAGGAGGAGGGTGAATCTCCACACTTGTAATAGAGCCAGAGAGAGGGGAAGAACTAGGTACAGAGACTGGAAAGGTAAAAGTGTGGAGGTGGAAGAAGGGAAGGAAGGGGCAAAGAAGATTTGAGCAATGTGGATTTTTTTGACTTCTGAGTAGAGAGCGATTGGTATTAGGTGTCGTACGAGGTCTTGTCGATACTGGGGCTTGTGAGGAAGGAGGCGAAGATGTGAGACAGACTGAGTTGTAGTCGGGACGTCAGAGCCAAGGACAGCAAAAGGATTAGATGCCATAGTGGCTATGGGAGGGTAACAACAGAGGAGGCTGCAGAAGATGGGACCCCAGAAGTGGGGGATGTTTGGAAACACAAGAATAAGAAACACGGGTAGTCTCCCTTGGGGACGGAGATGAGTAACTGCCATAGCATAAGGGAGACCTTCTGCCTCTTTGAGGCAACGGATTTCACGTTCATTTAAGTAGACCTGGCAACGGCGGGAGTACGAAGGGTGAGCTTCATTACAATTAAGGCAAGATGGAGGTTGACTGCAAGATGTATTAGAATGGTCGTCGGCACCACAGACTGGGCATTCGGCCATAGATCTGCAATATTTCGCTGGGTGACCAAAACGCCAGCAATTTCTACATTGTTGTGGTGTAGGTATCACCTTTCGAACTTGTAACCGATGTCCTGCGACATATACAGAGGACGGGAGTTCTCGGCTGTCAAAAGTTAAACGAGCCACATTGCAAGGGTAACGTCTCCGCCCCCGGGCAGGAAGGACGTAAGTGTCTACTTTGAGGATTGGGAGATCCTGGAGTTCCAGCTGTTCAAAAATGTCATTGCCACATGACTGGAAATTCTGTTGGACTATGGTATGGGGCAGAATGACAGTACCACTACAAAAATTGAGAGAAAGATGTTTTTCAATAGTGACAGGAGTAGTATCGATATTCGAAAGGAGAGAAAGATCATGAGCTTGGGCAGCATTCTGGACAGTGACGATGCGCATACCGCTCTTGAGAGCATGAAATGAAATATTTCTACCAACATGATGCAGGAGCGCTTTGCCAATACTATGGTCAGAAAGGTAGGCAGAAGAAGAAGTCGGTCTTAAAGTAAAGAATTTAGTCCATTGTGTGGTCCGAAACTGAGCGTGGAGAGGGAGTGCTTGACGTGTCGGTCTCTTCCGAGTAGAATGGGAAGGTAACGAAGGAGCATCATCAGGAGATTGACGTTGGCGTTTAGGAGTAGGACCGGAGTTGGTCCGGCGTGAAATGGGCGGGCGATTCGAAATTGCCGTACCGTAGAGGGAGAAGCCGGAAGCATAGTCAAAGGAGAGCGGAGTTCAGACAAATCGAAGGAGTCAGTCGAAGCCCCGGTACCTGAAGTGGGTGAGGAAACAGCACCAGCAAGAGGTACAGGGACATCAGGAGTGTCCGAAGAGTGGTCTAAACACAAGGCAGGGTCAGAATGGGGTGTGGTATCAAGAAGGGGCCTGGGGTAGTGGGTTCATGGACTAGGGCTGGGCCCTGGTTAGGTTACTCCTTTGCTTTTTGTTTTTAAGAAAAAAAAAAGAAAGAAGAAAAGAAAATAAAAATAAAAAAAGGGGGGAGCGGGGAGGAATAGTTCCCAGGAGGAGGAATGAAAGGGCCGGAAATCTCCCTCCGCGCCCAAGAGGATCTCAACACCGCTAGTAGCGCAGATGCAGCATGGAACCCGTGCCATACCCTACCCTTCATGCCAGTAAACCAGCAATCCGGGATAGCAACCTCACATCTGCCGAGCTACCTCGGTGGACAAAAGAGAGGGCGGCCGGATATCCGCCACAAAGCATACCTCCTTCGGCCACCACCCCCGGAATCCGAAAGGTGGCTTCCAGAGATACACCCGTCGCCCGAAAGACACCCAAAGCTACTCCGGGATACCGGAGAGGGATCGGGACATCCCCAGGCAATCCAGATTCCACGGCAAACTACGCCACCGCCAAGAACCTCAACGGAATGGGATGGACCCCGGTGTCCTTTCCCCTACCTAGGAACTAGCGTGCCTGTGGGAGAAATCCCAAAGGCCAAAAAGAGGAAGGGCAAAAGGGAGGGGTGAGGAGGAGGAGGAGGAATGGAAAAAGGGGAGGATGGGATAGGGGAGGGGAGAATGGGGGGTAATTAGGTTCGGTCTGAGGAAGAAGACCGACAGGGCTAATTCCTCAGACCAAGAGCCTCTTCACCACGCCAAGGATCCCCCCTTGAAGAGGATAATAATAATAATGTGTTACTTTGGGCTCAGTTTTAAGCTACTTCCAGCCCTGAAACCAATCAAAATCATCACCATTTCAGTAATATGTCTTCCAGTCTATCAAATGATACCAAGAAACAACCAATAAAAACTATCTGAGAAAACACCACAAATTTGCTATTTTAAACCACACACATGGTCAGATTTGTTTTTTCCCCCATCATGCGCTGCATGGACAGAAATATTTTTTATACAGTGCACACTCACTACATAGATCCACTCTTGTATCTAGGCCAAAATTTACTGCTCACAGCTTATCTTAGAGCTGAGCTCATGACAAAACTACATCAGGGACCCTGGCCTCAATGACATAGTGGACAGTAAAAGGGTTATCTGCACTAATGTTAAGTTACAGCATATGAATTTAGAAACAAGGTTTTCATAATTGTTAGTGGAAATATGATAGGGTTTTTGTTAAATTTTGAATTGCTATCTTACCGAGGTAGTCTTTATGAAATGCTGATGAACTACCTGTACTTGTAGTATGCACATTGCACATGCAGTATTATAGCTTCAGAAACTTGTATTCTGAATTAGTTTTTATACAGAGTCCTACAACTGTAAATCATTATGACTGTGGGTAAATAACTGTAGCATTCTTTTTTCCACCATCACTATTTCAAATGTTACTCTGATTTCATCTTTGCAACTACATCTGCATAAGAAGCAGATTACTTTATTTAAAAATTTTGACAAAATTTAAATTTTGATCCAGACATTTCTCTTTCCCTGTATCATAATCGTGGCAGATAATCTGGTTTGCTTTTATAATGATTTCTTCAATATATACCTATTTAACTTATTTAATCTCTCCAAAAGGATTGTTGCAGTGTGTGCTGCCAGAACACCCAATAAAAATGTCACACTAAATGTTTGTTTTGTCACTAATATATGAAGATATTTAGTTGTGTTCACATGAAAGTTGGAAATACTGTCTCATGACTAAGAAATATTCTTGGAACTAATGAAATTAAATGTCATTTAAAGCAATTTACACATTCATTATTAAACTTTACTAGACTGATTTATAACGCAAGATTTATATTTTAAATGCTTCAGTTTGTATCTGGATGTCTGTAAAATTTTAAATTGATTTATATTAGTACAAGCATTAAATTTATTACACTACATTTTTTCAGTGGAGGCTAATTATGAAATTTGTTGAGGTTGATGATACCATGTAGTAGTGTATACACAGTAGTACCTTGACTTACGAGTGCCCTAACTTATTAGTTTTCCGAGTTACGAGCCGTTGCTTGGTTGATTTTTTGCTTTGAATTGTAAGCCAAAATCCAAGTTATGAGCGAAAAAAAAAAATACTGAAAATGACATTTGGAAAGGACCCCCCGCCTCTAAATGGCACAACGAAAGGTGGCTTTGGGAGTTGGTACTTATAAAACAATGCTAGTGCAGTGTTCTCACCAGAGGTAACCATGTAATTATCTTTAGTTATTATACAAAAAAATAAAGTTGCTAAGTTTTTGACATTTGTAAAATATCTTGCCCTTTACTCCCACACAAATCCCAAAATATTTGGAATATTCCACAAGCCAATTGTAGAACAATCATTTTTTTATTTCTGTCAATATTATTGCATTTACTTCAATAATAAATGGTGGGCTTCATGAAATAAGTCAATAACTTACTTCCAAGATATTCATATATCACCTCACTAGTGATCTAGTTAGCCTCTCAAAAGCTTCATTTTCTCTTACCCAGGACCAAAGAACACGTTATATGAAGGAGCAGTGATGATTTTATGTGCTCGGACTGGTCCTGGACACTCGCAGTATTATGGCCTATTTTATTCATTCTAGAGTATATATCATGTTTCTATGTTACTTATACTAATGTTTTATATGTCATATTAGATCAATTCTGATAGATAAATAAGCATAGAGTTGATATTAGCGTTATATTGAAGTATTTTCTTCTCCCCCTGGTGTGGTTTTTGGGGGCCGGAAAGGATTAATGGCATTTTAATTAATTTATATAAGGAAAATTGATTTGATATACAGTACAAGCAAATTGAGTTACGAGCTCAGTCACAGAACGACTTAAACTAGCAAGTCAAGGTACCACTGTACTTAAATCTGTTCTTGGTCACTTGATATTTTAAGTTTAGACATATCTTTTAGCTTCTTAGTTTCATACAAAAAATAAAAAAAAAATAAATGAGAAACCATAACCTCAAAGCTTAGATATGAAAATTCTAATTATAAAACTGTATAAAAACAAAGATAATGACTGTTTCATAGATAAAATCTAGTGTTATAAATTCTCAACAGGCATGCTCTTCAGAGGTGATGATGCTTCGAGCTGCACGGCGTTATGATTCCAAGACTGATTCAATTGTCTTTGGAAATAACTTTCCCTACACGCAAAACTCATACGAGTTGGCAGGCTTGGGGGAATCAGCTGGTACCCTATTCCGCTTTTGTCGCAATCTGTGTAAGATGAAGGTGGATAATGCTGAATATGCATTACTAGCAGCTATTGCCATTTTCTCAGGTAAGACTAATTCTAATTATATGTAAAAATAAAGCCCAGAAAAATACTGTTTGTCATACTTTAATGTTGGATGTGTGGGAAATACAGTAATAAGGGGCGATTGACAGTGCTAGGTGGTCATTGGTGATGGGGCTGGTAGGGTATGGAGGTGGTAGCAGCTACAATATGAAATATTACTGGCGGCAAGTGATGGTGGCGGTGGAGATTGTGTTAATAGGTGGTCATAGGTGATGGGGCTGGTATTATGTTATAATTTGAATGTATTACTGGTAGTGAAGGGTGGTGTTTAGTGGTGATAGTGCTGGTAAGTTGTAGCGTTAGGTTAACAAGCAAACCACATCTACAATGTAAGGCATCAAGCATTATATTACTTTTGATAAAATAAATACATAAAAGAACTATATGGCTTTCTTGGAGGTGCTGTGTACCTACCTTATTTTTCATATAAATTGTGGAAAAGGACACTTGTGTACAGTTCAGGACATTTATTACAGGAAACATTTCACCATCTGTGGACTGATTAAGCCACACATGGAGAAATGTTTCTTATAATAAATGTCCTGAACTGTACACAAGTGTCTTTTTCCACAGTTTGTCAGTATCACCATGCCATTTACAACCTTTCACATAAATTATATATTACGTAGCGTGATTTTACATAAAGCACTGATTTCAGAAACATAACTGCCGCATTTGAGAGGTACTACTGTATTTAGTGGCAAGTGCAACTCGACTAAGTGCCCAAGCATACCAGCAGCAGTAATAATTGAAAAGAATATATGAAAATTAACATGACAGCAGCATTGGCCAGCCTTGAAAAGATGAAGGAATTTGACTGTTAATTAGTGATGAGTCTTTGTATTTACATTAACCTAATAATCCTTTTGCTGTTTCATACATAGATATGTTATTGATGCCAGGATCACTTAGGTAGATTTATAATCTATGTTTTGAGCTCAGCTCCCGCTGATAAACTGTGAATTTTGGCCTAGACATAAAAGAACGAAGGTGTAGCTACAGTGCATAGTATAAAAAAGAATCCTTCCCCATGCTGTGCATAAAAAGGAAAGCAAACTTCTTAATTCCAGTAACCTGTTTGCTTTATTATGTACACTTATGACATTGTGTTTGATTTAAAATAGCAAATTTGATATGTTTTCCAGGGTGGATTTATTGTTTTATAGGCTGTTATGTTGTATGACTTGAAAGAATAGAAGACACACTGCTAAAAGAGAAATGATTTTGGTTGGTTTCAAGACCAGAAGTAGTTTGAAATTAGGCTCAAAATAGCATATATACAGTGGACTCCCGCGAATTTGCAGTTCCGAATTCGCAGCTTCAATAATTCGTGGATTTTTCCTTAGAACTAACTAATAATAGTTTGCGGAATTTTTTTGGCTTTTTTTGTGGCAGTATATAATTTTTTTGTGTGTGTTTTAACGGTAAACATTAAGAAAAATATAATTTTGCAACATAAATATTAACGTAAATTCAGCAAAATTTCCATGTATTGACGAGTACCCATACATTTAACTTTACTTTTACTAAATTATTACCGTATATTTACCAAACGTATACCAAAGAAAACGGGGTTGCATGAATTACAGTATACCAAAGAAAATGGGTTTGCATGAATTACAGCACATATGGGGGTAACATCGGTATTTTACATTCTAGCACTGCGGGAGACATAGCAGTACAGTACTGTATACGGGCTTATCTTTAGTCTTTTTTTTTTTTTCTTAAGGGTGATGTATGAAGCTGGGTTTGAAATTAAAGTGTTTTGGGACATATTTAGGGTTTAAACTATAAAAATAGGCATTTTTTTTAACCGCATCCAGAATTCATGTTTTTTTCCAAATTTGCAGGTGGTTTTGGAATGTAACCCCCTCAAATTTGGTATTTGATTTTTGATGATTTTTCTGAGGATGGGTAAGGCTTGCCTACACCCCCCAATCTGTTTTATGGATTTTACTAATTCTGAGTTCATCATTGGGATGCCAAAAACTATGACTAATCATTCTCGATTATTATATTTTATTATCCAAGAAATTGAGTAAATCTTTGATTTTTTGTGAAGATAATGAATTTGTAAAGGAGGGCCTGAAGACATGATAAATGAACCGAGGAAATGTTGCTTTAACCCTTTTAGGGTCTTGTCCACAGGGTCCAAGAGAAAAAAATAAATTTTTTCATATGAAATGGTAGAGAATCTTTTTCTGAAGGTAATAAAAGTATGTAATTTGATGGAAAATTGATGAAATTATGCTCTCACGAATTTTGATGTGTCAGCGATATTTACATATCAGTGACTTTGCCGACTTTGACTCCCATTTTAGGACAATTACATTATTCCAGTCAACCAAATTCTTAGCCATTTTGCTAGTATTACAGTGGACCCCCGCTTAACGATCACCTCCAAATGCGACCAATTATGTAAGTGTATTTATGTAAGTGCGTTTGTACGTGTGTGTTTGGGGATCTGAAATGGACTAATCTACTTCACAATATTTCTTATGGGAAAAAATTCGGTCAGTACTGGCACCTGAACATACTACTGGAATGAAAAAAGTTCATTAACCGGGGGTCCACTGTACTTCTATTTTATCAATTGAGCACAAGAAATCACCACTCAACTGTTTCAACTACCCAATAGTGATTGGAAACTGGTAATTTGGCCAATTTAACACAAGGTTCAAAATATTCCAATTTCAAAATACGGTCCAGAATAAACAATGCAAGCATTCCTGGCACTAAACTAACATTTCCTCTGTTTATTAGTTATGTTTTTAGGCTTTACAAATGAATTACATTTTGATTTTTTATTCACATAATGAATTTTTATTGAAACCAAAAAATGGAAAATTTACTGTTATGCAATATTATAATAATTGTATAAATAATATCAGCACATTATATTAGACCCACTAGCTGATGCATATTTGACTCATGATATTTGTTTACTCTTGAACATCAACAAAAATTGAACATTTCAGCTACTCTGAGCTCAGTTTCAAGCCATTTTCAGTACTAAAACCAATCAAAATCATCTCTATTTTGGTAATATATCTTCTATTCTACCCAATGAGACCAAGAAATCGCAAATACAACTATAATAAACATACAAAAAAACATCACAAAGTTGCTGTTGTAATCGAAAATTATGGTCTCGTTTTTTTCTCTCATGCACTGTGTGCTGCAGGATTTGTTTTATGTGGTGCACACTTACCACATAGATGTATTCTATCATATTTAGGCCCAAATTTACCACTCAGAGCTTATCGGAGTGAGCTGAAGGAAGAGAGGGATTAGGAGTAACACATTAAAAGAAATGAAAATTTGAAAGAAATGTTCCAGACTGCTCTGATTTCTCTGAGTATATAACTAGATCAAATACTAACAGAGGGTCTCAGGGTTTCTGAGGCTGTCATCTCAGTATGATTATGACATACAGGTCTGTGACAGAAACCATGCAGCCACAATAAAGGTAATTGAATAATTGTAGAGGTAGCAAACAGTTAAGCTAGACTAATGATGTTAGGAAACCATACCCCGGCTGGGATTGAACCCGCGGTCAGAGAGTCTCAAAACTCCAGACCGTCGCGTTAGCCACTAGACCAGCTAGCCACAATAAGATTCGTCCAACTAGGTATATTTCTACACCATAGGAAGGTTAGCACAGGCACCACTGTGACCACAAATGCAAGTTTTTACAGACGAATCTCCAGCTAGCGTGGCCGTGACGAACTCTAGCTCAAGTCCCTTCACTGCCGTCAACATGACTCACGAAATCGTAATGACATGATTGCAAACAAACCATACCCCGGCTGGGATTGAACCCGCGGGCTGGAGTTTTGAGACTCTCTGACCGCGGGTTCAATCCCAGCCGGGGTATGGTTTGTTTGCAATCGTGTCATTACGATTTCGTGAATAATGATGTTAGGAGATTTCAGCCATGGTCATACAGAATGGGAGAACCCATGCAGAGCCTAAGAGATGTAAAGACTCAAACTGATTAATTGTATAATGCAGAACTTTCCAAGGCAATATGTTAAAGAACAGACCAGAGTAAAAGGAAATAAACAGATAAAAGGAAAGTTAGCAAAATAAGAAAAAAGCCAGAAATGAATATCTTTGGGTGAGGTAAAAAAAGGGAATGTACCAGAATATAGTGGCACTAACCCTTCTATATGGGTGTGACATGTGGGTTTTGAACACTGTGCAGAGGAGGAGGCTAGAGGTACAGTTGAGAGAGATATGTCATGCACAGAATTTGGAACATAGAAACTGAAAGATTTTGAGGGGGTCACCAAGGATGTGTAATTCAGTGAGTTAAGGAAATGTTGAAGTGGTTTGCGCATGTATGAGGATGAAGAGGAATAGGATGATGAAGAGTGTATAAATCTGGAGTAGAAGGATAATCATTGGAGGGAGGAGGAGGGTAAAAGTAGCTTTGAGTTTTAGGGGCTTGAACATCCAACAGGTTTATGTGAATATGTTTGACAGTAGTGAATTAATAAGAACAAGTGGTTTATAAGATAACATTTATGAAGAGATTCAGGGAAACTGTGTAGTCAGAATTGAGTCCTGAAGGTAGAAAGTAGTGCCTGTATTCTGAAGGTGGAGGGATATTGCAGTTTGGAGGGTCATCTGAACTGTGATGTCAGCACACTTTTGGCAAGACAAAATGAACGAATGATGGTGACTGCATTTCCTCTTTTTTTGGTCACGCCAGGTCACCAAGCCTCAGTGGAAGATGGCCAATGTTTTGAAAAAACTAAGAAAATGGAAGTTACAGGAAGGCTTGGATAGACTCCAGAAATGGTTGATTAAATGGTTAGTGGAAATACATCTGTCTGCTAGTTATGAAACTAGCACATAGGAAAAGGAGACCAAAAACAGAGTACCATCTATGCAGAGAGAATGAGGATTAAAATATTGATATATTAGGTTTAAATCCTATCTGCTGCATGAGTGTCATTAAAGCTGCATGTCACCAGTATACCACCAGTCAAGGATATTTTCAATCTATAAAATAGTAATTAAAGAAAACTTAGCATATACATGTATACATACTGAGGTACACACACCTTATGGCACAAGATACAACCTGTCTTGAAGGAGAGGGGTCACTGAAGTTCAGAGTGAGCATTATGCAAAACCTGAAACACAAAAAACAGAACGACACAGGTTAAACTTGCAAATTAGAGTGACCAATTTTGTCCTTACTGTATACTCAATTCATTTAAAAAAGTTTTATATACATCAAGCCTTTACCCTGCATCAGGGTATATACTGATATAATTGCTTAAATAAATAAATATTTTTGTCTTTTTTTTCAGAGAGGCCTAATCTAAAAGAACTCTCAAAAGTAGAAAAACTTCAAGAAATATACCTCGAGGCATTGAAATCTTATGTGGAAAACCGACGAATGCCACGATCCGCTATGGTGTTTGCAAAGTTGCTAAACATTCTCACAGAATTGCGAACCCTTGGTAACCTTAACTCAGAAGTGTGCTTCTCTCTCACACTCAAGAACAAGCGACTTCCGCCTTTCTTGGCTGAGATTTGGGATGTTTCTGGATGTTAATGCTGAGCCACCGCCACTTCCCGGGTGCCATGTTTCTGAGGTCGACTTACGAGTGCAAGAAGGTTGTGAGTCATCTGGGGGTGGTGGGTGGTCCCTACACTATGTACCTGCAGGCTGTGAGTGAGAGACTGATAATGCTGTGGGAGCAGCTTTACACTGCCACCCAGAACCCACTTTCAGCCACCTGATATGTGTATGTGCTAGGCCGCCGTTATGACAGTGCCGTGCAGCCCGCCACCAGTGCAATGTTGAGTGTATAATAATGCGCCCAGTTTGTCCAAGGGGCAACATTACATGCAATGTAGCTTTAATTTTTAATATTGTGAAGTTTTTTTTTTTTTTTAAGCTGTGAAGGTGACACTGTCAGATTTTATTTCATACTGAACACACGTGTGCATACAATAAAAATGTACATAAACATACACACACAAATGCACATATACATACATGCATTCTTACATACACATGAAATGTGTCTAATAATATTTAACTATATAAAGCTACATTGCAATGTTGTTCAGATACTGCGCAAGCCACTATTTGGCAGGCAACGAACTCCACGTGCCTTGCTTACGGTCAAGCTTCTGTTTCCTATCTAATTCTCAAGGTGTTCCTGAGAGACTGAGAGAGTGGAATTTAAACACAAAGGAACAGTGCGATGTCTTCGGATCCATATTTTTATATGACTTCTTACTTGTTAATTTAATTGAGCTGGTATGCCGTCCTTACAAGTACTGTAGTAGACTATTGAAAATATATGTTAATATTATTGTAATGTTATTATTACTGCTATAAATTGTAATCTTGTACCAATATCCCTGCCCTTACACATGGAAGGTTGTGTATAAATCAGCTTACATTTAAGACTTGAGAATGTAGTGGTGCAGTTTAGAATGTGAAATGGGTTTGCAGTTTGCTCCTATGAATTGTGCAATGTAAATGGATTATGCTGTTAACATGTGTCCAGCAGCATGGAATGGGATACTCAATGCCATACAGAAAAATAGGTTTAATTAATAACAAAATTCCCAGATTTATCATATGACACTTTAGTTGTTGAAGGTAAAGAGGTGAATATTTCCTCAGTAATCAAATTTTTCAAGTAAATGTTGATGGTTTACATAATTATGTGGTCTATAACCTTGTAATGGTAAAGTATATTGCTTCTAATACACAGGCATTAAATAGAAAAAGTTAAAATTTCCAATGTAGTTGTCTGTATTGGCATTCATATCCCAATTCTGCATTCAAGAATGAGATTCCTATCCTTAGCCAATTAGCCAACTTTGTTATGAAAAATAACCTGAATTTATGAAGAAAGTCTAATTAGATATTAATAACCAAATTTGCACGTGATGTGCACCCCTTTATCTTCAGTGGATCTACTGAATATCCAAGAAACCATAGCTAACCCTAAGAAACACCCTTTGCCTTTTTCCCGGATTAAAATATATGGAATGAATGGCAATTAGAACTTTACAGCTGTTGCCATTATCTTCCTAACCCTAACATGATAATCTCTCAGTGGTCACCCTACCATAACCTAAAAATGACAAATTAAAGTAACAGTATACTATATATATATATATATATATATATGGTAAATTTGCAGACAGTAGAAATTTTGAACTTACCTGAAAAGTACAACTGATAGTATAGATTAAGCTAAAAATTCTTATTGTAAGGGAATCGAATAGGGTGCTGAGGAAATAAAATTGTCCAGGGTGCTATTTTCAAAAATGCTGTTTCCAGAAGGGCTCAGGAACTCTGCCTAAAATACTTGATATGACAAGCAATATGGCCTACTGCATAGTACTTTAATATGGCACATTTTTCGATAATGTTCATAGGGAAAATGTGACTTATGAGATGTCATTATTAGGCATTCTATTGCTTTTCTTGTCAGTTATTAACTTAGGAGCATAGGTTGTCCTTATAAACTGTAATACTCAGATTTAGGGATGTCAATTGAACAAATTTCCAGATTTTTCTGTGATAAATGGTACCCATATCAAATAAGGAAATTACAAACATTTTTATATATGTACAACACTACAGTAAATAAAATACAAAATCCACATACAATGAAACTTTGAAGCTACACTTGCAAAATCATGTAATTGGAATAATATAAATGATTGAAATCCCTGAAACTGGTGAATTACCTACCCTTGGCTTCTCCATGTTGTGTAAGCCGCCCATGATATCTAGTTCATGTTCTGGACAGGTGGTGATGTGTATATTTGTCTGTTTAGAGCCTAGGATATACAAAATCCCTTGTTCAGACTGAAATATAATTGTATATCATGAATCCAGTGCATTATCTCCTGTTGTTTGTCCAGAAATATTGGTTGTTTGCTACAATTTCTGTGTTTTAATATCTGTAAAGCAGGTTTTGTAAAGCAAAATATGTTGAATGATGAATGATTCTGAAAGAATGAAGAAGATATTCTTAGAGAGAATGAGTGTAAGTACAGAGACTTCACCTTCATCATAGATTAAGGTCATCTTCCATAGACTTTTAGCTTTTCTCATCTTCACATCTTCATTTTTGGTAGCCACTTTTCAGCACATATGAGAATGTAAAGTCTGTGTAACAAGTTGGTTAAAAATGGCTCAAAAGCTGGGCTAGACTTTATACCCAAAGAGATTGCAATCAAAAATATTTGGGTTATGATGGCACTCAGTTACTTGTGTTGCCTGCAGCTGTTCCACCTACATTTCAGGAGAGGAAGATGTAATAGAGATCAGTGGCTATGATTGTAAATAGGAAAATGTTGGATCTGAGGTGGGAAAATAATTTGAAAATATTTTTTTTCCTGGTCATTTGTTATAGTTTGATACCATTTTCAGTCACTGCAGTTTAATTTTTATGAGGTGTTAAGGTTATTAGTTAAAACATGATTCCATTGAGAATAAAGGTGTGCCTAGGATTTTAATTCTTGTCATTCAGACAATTTAACTGTCTGTTGGAGATAGGAATTGCAGCAAGGCTCACAAGTTTAGCTAATGAGCATGCACCTCTCATGTCACATTTTGTAATGACTGTCCACTTGGTCAAGAGATATTTCAAGCACTCTCAGATTCTTCCAGTTATTGAGTAGTCTCGGTGCATAATACAAGTTCTGTGATATTCATCCTGTAAAGAAAGCCTTTTATTGAATATGATATTAAAGTCTCAGATTGTATAATCTGTAAAAACTTATAAATGCACAAATATTGTTAATATAATTGGTGAACTATTTTTCTGCTCCAAAGAGCAACGGTACAAGAGCTTACTTTCCTGTGTTCATATTTGAAAAAATAGTGTGATGATTTTGATGTCATAATGAAATCCATGACTTGATAATCCTGTTAAGGCATTTATACTGTGTGAGTGAGGAAAGAGCCAATCAAATATATTAAAATTTAAGCAGCATCAATCAACAATGGTCAAGTAATCCCTTTTCATCATACATTACTTGTGAAAATGTCAGATTACTTGTTACCTTCAAACACAGCCTATCCACTGGTTTGTTTTTGTATGTCTTAACCAACTTGTTGCCATTAAATGGTAGGTTTGTGGATGGATTTCATCTGGAGGAATTAGGGAAGTATTCAGAGAAGAGATTTTTGTAATTATATTTTCTTGGTCTACTTTAAAGAAACCCAAGACTAATGCATGTATAAATGAACCATCTTGTCAGTATTTGCTTTTGTGAGAACATATATTCAAATGTGATTGGTTGTAACCTAAACCACCCAATCACTTTTGAAAGGGCCATATAAATGTGTCTCACTGTCCTCTGATTGGTCAGCTTCTATAGTCCACAAGCCAATCAGGTGTCAGTTATACGTCCAAGCTCCTCCACCATTAAAATGATTGTGACAACTTTTGCTGGAAATGAGCAACTCATAAATAATTTTGAGAAAGAAGTTTTTATATTAAATTTGGAAAAATAATAAAATTATCTTGTTTCTTTTGTCTTGAAGTTTGTTTTTCTTCCATAAATCGTATTTTACAGTGGAGAAAGATCAAAACTGTAATATTACACTGCTTATTATTTATTATGTGCATCAGTATTATCCTCTATACAACATGAAATATACAACAGCCACAGGTGCTGAATGATTCATATAGGATTAGTGTTTTTTATGGATACTTCATATTTTTATTTACCAGATTGGTTTTCCTGAAGGGCAACATTCCAACCCATCCTTCCTAGTGCAGGCACCATACTTCCTGCCTCCAAGACTCAAATCTGACTAACTGGTTTTATTGAATCCATTCAGAAATGTTAACTTGATCACACCAAGTCAACCTCCCTTCCCCCAGCAAAAAAAAGAAAGTCTCCACCCAATGAACCAACACACACACCCCTGATAGATGCTTAAGCCCTTATCACTCAACCTTCACTCCACTTAATTATAATAATCATTATTTCTACAAGTACATAATACAACATGTGCAGGCCTAGCTCTCCGAGACTTTTTTTTATTTTTAGGAAAATTTGCTAATGAATACTCACCTACACTCATTTGCTCTCCTGCATTTCTCTCGAATCTTATTTAATCTCTATCTCTCCAGGATACTCTGCTTTTCACATACTGTGTCATTTTTACATGAAACCTTTTCACTTGCTAACCTTTTTCCCTTTATACCTCATCATTCCACAAATCCTCTCCCCACCCACACCCACTCTCCTACAACCACAAAGCTCTGTTGCACACTAGTACTGCATTCTTAAATCCATCCTATACATACTTAACATCTTTATCATTATCTCTACTCTCTAGCTTACATTTTTTTTCAGTAGTTTCTTGTACCTCTCACTAATTACCTCCCCCTTGCTTAGCTGATTCACTTTCCCTTATCTCTCACCAAATGGCACCATTTTTCTTGTATTCCATTTGGCTTTCATCCTTTCTGTAGATAAAACTACATACAGTTGTCTGACAAATCAATTGCCCCTTGAAAAGCATGCACATCTAGAAGTTTACACATCAACATTTTATCTACCAACATATAGTCTAGGAATCTGCTGTCATTGTATATGTTGTCAGTATTCTAGGCTGGAATACTGCTTTACACTAACAGCCCCCTTGAAGGCTGGAGACATTGCCGACCTGGAGAGCGTACAAAGAACTTTCACAGCACATATAAGTATGATAAGGCACCTAAATTACTGGGAACGGTTGAAGGTCCTTGATCTGTATTCACTGGAACGCAGGCGAGAGATGCATGATAATATACACTTGGAAGGTCCTGGAGGGATTAGTACCAAACCTGCACACAAAAATCACTCCCTATAAAAGCAAAAGGCTCGGCAGGAGATGTAACATTCCCCCGATGAAGAGCAGGGGTGCCACGAGTACGATGAGACAACACAAAAAGTGTCCAGGGCCCAAAACTGTTCAACTGCCTCCCAGCATACATAAGGGGGATTACCAATAGACCCCTGGCTGTCTTCAAGAAGGCACTGGACAGGCACCTAAAATCAGTACCTAACCAACCAGGCTGTGGTTCGTACGTCAGTTTGCGTGCGGCCAGCAGTAAGAGCCTGGTTGATCAGACCCTGATTCGCCATGAGGCCTGGTCTCAGACCGAGCTGTGGGGGGCACTGACCCCCGAAACCCTCTCCAGGTAGTTCAAGAGCTGATGGGAATGTCTTGTGAAGAAAGGTTAAGGGAAATCGGTCTGACGACACTGGAGCACAGGAGGGTTAGGGTAGACATGATAACGACATACAAAATTCTGTGAGGAATAGATGAAGTGGACAGAGACAGAATGTTCCAGAGATGGGAAACAGAAACAAGGGGTCACAATTGGAAGTTGAAGACTCTGATGAGTCAAAGGGATGTTAGGAAGTATTTCTTTAGTCAGAGTTGTCAGGAAATAGAATAGTCTAGCAAGTGATGTAGTGGAGGCAGGAACCATACACAGCTTTAAGATGAGTTATGATAAAGCTCATGGAGCAGGAAAGTGAGGACCTAGTAGCAACCAGGGAAGAGGCGGGGCCAGGAGCCGAGTCTCGACCCCCTGCAACCACACATAGGTGAGTACAAATAGGCGAGTACACACACACACACACAAACCTGCTGGAGTTCTATGACAGGGTGACAGCAGTAAGACAAGAGAGACAGGGGTGGGTAGATTGCATTTTCTTGGACTGTAAGAAGGCGTTTGACCCAGTTCCACACAAGAGACTAGTGCAAAAGCTGGAGGACCAGGCAGAGATAACAGGGAAGGCACTGCAATGGATCAGGAAATAACTGTCAGGAAGACAACAACAGTGTCAGAGTGGGCGCCTGACAAGCAGAGTTCCACAGGGATTAGTCCTAGGACCGGTGCTGCTTCTGGTATTTGTGAATATGACGGAAGGAATAGACTCTGAAGTGTCACTGTTTGCAGATGATGAGAAGTTGATGAGAATTCAATCGAACAGGGACCAGGCAGAACTAAAAGGGATCTGAACAAGCTGCAGGCATGGTCCAGCAACTGGCTCCTAGAGTTCAACCTCACCAAGCACAAAGTCATGAAGATTGGGGAAGGGCAAAGAAGACCGCAGACGGAGTACAGCCTAGGGGGGCCAGAGACTACAAACATGACTCAAGGAAAAGGACCTTGGGGTGAGTATAACACCGGGCACATCTCCTGAGGTGCACATCAACCAAATAACTGCAACTTATGGGCACCTAGCAAACTTAAGAACAGCATTCCGACATCTTAATAAGTAATCATTCAGGATCCTGTATACTGTGTATGTTAGGCCCATATTGGAATATGCAGCACCAGTTTGGAACCCACACCTAGCTAAGCACATAAGGAAACTGAGAAAGTGCAAAGGTTTGCAACTAGACTGGTCCTGGAGCTAAGGGGCGGTAGCACAACTAATATTTTTTTTTCATCTATTTCTTTCATTGCTGGTGTGCAAGACGAAGTATTTTCTCTATTTACTGTAAATATTTGTTAATAAGATACCCCAAACAACAACTGAAAGAAGAACGATTTATTGAAAATGACATTTCGCAAGAGGGTAGTCCTATATGGGTCAACGTAAGGTTGTTTGGGGGCTTGGTACTGAGAGAACAATGCTAATACAAATTTTTGATGTTGCACTTTCCTCTAAATATCTTATCTTTGTTCCGCAAAAAAAAAATTAAAGTTTGTTAGTTCTTAGACTGTTGCAAAATATCTGCCCCTTTACTCCCACATAAATCCCAAAATATTTGGAATATTTCCAAAAGTACATCACTAAAAACACTACGAACAATTATTATTTTACAATTTCTGTGATTATTATTCCACTCAATTAAGCAGTAAAGGCACAGTTAAGTGAAATAAGTCAATAACTTACTTCTGAGATATTGGCCTGGAACGTGGGCCGGCCCCCTGTCTCGAATTTTTTTTTTTCCACGAAAATCGCGTTTGTTTCAGTTTTTTCCTTATAAAGTTGGCGTTCTAGTGCAGTTTGCTTCTTCAAAACTCTGTTTTCTCTTACTCAGGGCCTAAGAATACGACATGCAAGGTGCGAGGTTCTGACCTGAGGATAGGTGAGAATGGGAAGGAAGAGGGAGGGGAGGGATGGAAAATTTGAAGAGGTTGGGAGGGTGGAGCAGGAGGTGGGGTGCGAGAGGTAAGTGGCCCGACCACCCTGGAGCAAGATGTGCAGAGGTACTGCAGGGGGTTGTGCTGGAGGCAGCAGAGTCAGTAGAGTAGGGCTGGGTCTCAGATGTCTGGCAGGAGATGGCTGGAAGGGCAGTGGTGTCTAGGAAAACAGGGTTGTTTTGGAGCCACACCCCACCTTTAGCTAAATAGCAAAGTGCTGGGGGACTTTGGTTGCTGGTAGGTGATTATTAGACTGTGCAGCTGTTGGAGCCATTTCTGACTATTGAATTTTGCTCTTTAGAGGTGTAGTACCTTCATTTTGGAGTTGATGTGAATTTTATCATTGAGGATGTCGAGTATGGATTGTAGGGTTGGCGGTGGAATTCTGTGAACGGTGTACTTTGCAGTGTTGTCTTGGAGTCATTGGCTGAGTTCTGGGAGGGGCATAGCTCTACTGTATGGTTTCGTGGTGTAGAACGTGGCATAGTCGTGTTTGAGGATCGGTGGGGTTGCTGGTGGGGGCTGAGCTGGGCGAGTTGGGGTTTCTGATAGGTCAGTAGCAGTAGGGGCGGAGGCAGGTGGTGGTGGGTTCTCATTGGTGGGTTCTTCTGAGGTCTCAGAGGTCTCTGGTTGGGCCAACTCAGTGTCGGGTGGAGGTTAAGGTAGTGGTGGAGCAACGACAATGTTAGTGACATTTGCAGTGGATTTGAGAATCTCAGTGGAAGGTGGTGATGTGGGGAATGTGAAACCTGGCATGTTGTTGAGCTTGAAGAGTTCGTTGATGGTGGTATTGAAGGAGCCAGGCTCAGCTGCATTCGGCACATGGGCATACATGATGCAGTAAAGGATTTTGGTGGAGTCACCAGCAGGAGCTGGCAGGGGAGTGGTGGAGGCTGCTTGCGTGGCTTGTAGGATCTTGGTGGTGTGTGCTTGAAGCTTGATGATAGTGGCATATGAGGTTGTTTGTGGGTTGGGCTTATTTTGCTGATGGTATTGTTTCTTGGCTATGTCTCTTCTGGTAGGGCATCTGGCCGCTAGAGTATGGTGGTCATTCTTGCAGTTCAGGCATTTAGGTGGTGCGGCAGTAGTGCGGTTTTTGAAGTCGTGACCCTTGAGGCCACAGGTGGGACAGAATTTTTTGTCCTTGGCAGTGCAGTCTTTGGTGGTATGCAGGTATGAGTAGCAGTTGTAGCAGTGTGGGATTTGTAGGAATTTTTCTTCTTCGATGAAAGTTGGGTTGATGTGGAAGTAGTGAATAGCCAGGCCCTCAGCGAGAGCTCTGGCTGCCATGTTGACGTCGCTGAAGGTGACCTTCAGCATGGATGAAGCGTTGGGTATTTTGGTAATGTAGTCCACCTTAGCCCAAGGGTTCTGTGC